TCCTCCTCCTCCTCCTCCCCTCCTTCTCTCCCTCCTCCTCCTCCTCCTCCTCCTCCTCCTCCTCTCCTCCTCCTCCTCCTCCCCGTCTCCTCCTCCTCCTCCTCCTCCTCCTCCTCCTCCTCCTCCTCCTCCTCCTCCTCCTCCCTATCCGTCTCTCCCTCGCTCCCCTCGCCTCATCCTCGACCTCATCTAGCGGCTCCATGTCTATCCGACGTGGCCGATACGCCCACGGCCGCGCGCCCGCGGCCGCGCGCCGCGCGCCGGACGCGCGGGGATGGAGGACCCCGACCCCAGGGCACGGACAGCACACGCAGGGGCCCTCGCCAACGAAGGAGAGGCGGGGGAAGGACGCCTCCAGTGCTCTCGAAGGGGGGAGGGCGGGCAGGGGCCACGAGAAAAAAGCCGAGGCACGGGCCCAAGAGCCCGAGAAGGGGGGGAGAGGAGAGGGGGGGCCCTTCAGGTCACCACGAAGGCCTCAAGGGCACAGGGAGAAGAGAAGGGGACGGGGAGGGCACGGGCCAAGGAGGCCTCGCAACGACTGTCCCCCGATCACCAAACCCCCCGACAGTGTACACGCAGCCGTCGACGCCAAAGTTGCGCAGGGGGTGGTGGTGGGTGATAGAGGAAAAAGAACTGTGCACATGCACCGATTCTGGCCAGGCCCATCCTGAGCCCAGAATCGGTGCATACGCCCTCCTACCTTGGCCAGGAAGGCATATGCACCGATCATGGGTCAAGGATGGGCCTTGCCAGGATCGGTGCATGTGCATAATTCTCCTCGCCCGAGGTGAGGGGCAACGATAGGGGGGGGGAAGGAGTAGGGGGGGAAACATCGACCTGGAATCAGCGATACATCGCCGACAGATCTGCGATAGGCCTCCGATAGTGAATCCGCACCTTCCTGGGCAGCTCGGGGCTATCGGGCCCCTATCGGCGATCGATGGGCGATTGGGGGTCGATGCATCCCCCCCCTTCTGCTGCCTATCCCCCCCTATCGTCGGGAGCGGCCAAGAGGGGGGTGTCCAAGAGGGGGGGGTGCAAATCATGACCGGCGGCATGTGCGCGGCCCAGCGGGGGGACCAGGGACGTAATGAAACAAGAAGAGGCGCCATGAAGTCTGGGGAAATGTCATGGCCCCCGCCATGATATCCCCCCCCCCCCTAGTCATCCCCCCCCTTCTGCTGCCTATCCCCCCCTATCGTTGCCCCTGCGTGGGGTAGACGATAGGGGGGGGGATAGGCAGCAGAAGGGGGGGGATGCATCGACCCCCAATCGCCCATCGATCGCCGATAGGGGCCCGATAGCCCCAAGCTGCCCAGGAAGGTGCGGATTCACTATCGGAGGCCTATCGCAGATCTGTCGGCGATGTATCGCCGATTCCAGGTCGATGTTTCCCCCCCTATTCCTTCCCCCCCCCTATCGTTGCCCCTGCCTGGGGTAGACGAGGCGCGTGCGGTCCAGCGGCCGCCCGAGGCGGGGCCGGGCGGGTCGGCGCGCGGGGAGCCCAGGGCAGGAGGCACGAGGCGGCCTCTGCCCCCCCTCGGCCCTCCGAGGGGGCGGCATCGACGGTGGCCCGCGGCCTCCCGCGGGCGCCCAGCTCGTCGGCGCGCCTGCCGGCCTCATCCTTCCTTTCCTGCTCTTCCTCCTCCTCCTCCTCCTCCTCTTCTCCTCCTCGTCCTTCTCCTTCGCCTCCTCCTCCTCCTGCTCCTCCTCCTCGCCTCGGCCCTCGTATGGCCCGTGATGCCCCCGCGGTTTTCTCCTGGCAGCTGCCAGCGTGGTGGCGCGACTCCAGGAGCTTCGCGTCTCCGGGACTCGGGCATGTCATCTTGCAATGCCTCTCGGTGTACTCGGCGATCAAGGTCTCCGTCGTAGAACAGATCTCCTCGTTCTCGCGTGCTCGCGTGCTCCAGCCTCGGTGTCGTCGTACTCCAGATCACTGCAGTTGATGATGCTTTGAACCCCTCCGAATTCAGTCTCGTACTCGTGAGTGGTCAAGCACGTCATAGTACCCCTGCTGTGCTGGAGCTGGGGGAGCTGCCGCGCTGTGATGCCGTCTATCTGCTTATCGGCCGAGGTATGGGTGATCACGGCAGGGACGCGACGACGTGAGCAAGTGCAGTACATTGAGATGATCGCCCTGATGATGTTGTTTCACGGATCTTGTCGACTGTCTCACCGCTGGTGGTGAGAGCTCCCCATGGGAAGGCTCGGGATCTTCTCTTGTGGATGTAGCCGTCGCTCGGGGAGTCGCCGAAATTGACGTCTAGTGTCCCGCTAGGTATAATCGCGTACAGCGCCGCAACCTCTCCATGTCAGATCCTGTCCTCCCAGCACTTGAGGGCCTCCATATCGCCGATGTCGTGGCCCTCATTGGTGCCGTAGGTACGGAACGTGATGAAGTGGAAGTTTCTACTCTGCATTTGCCTCTTTTGTTCAGGATGTCCTGCATGTCACCAGCATGCCTCTGGCACGGAGTGATGAAAAGAATGATGTGTCTCGAGCTCGCGTGTTTTCCGTCCGTGGCGGCGTGCTGTTTTGGACTTCGGTAGTCAGACAGGCTGGAGGTGGCGGTAGTCAGACAGGCTGGAGGTGGCGACGGTGCAAAGGTCAAGTCGCGACAGTGGTGTAACGTCCCCTTGGTGAGCAGGTGTTTCGTGGTAGAGTTCGGGTATTCCTTTCTTTGTGGCTCCGTGATGGTATTGACATACTCCCTCCTTTCCTCCTCCTCTTCCTCATCCTCCTCGTCCTCCTCCTCTTGCACCTCCTCCCTCGTCGTCCTTCCTCACCCACTCCCTCTTCTCCCCCCTCTCCTCCACCTGGACCAAAAAACAAAGACACCAGCCCACCCACGGCCCCACGGGCCTGAGCATACACCGTGAATTCTGGCTTTGGCTTTTGCGTGGTATACGCTACTGCGCCCGATGGGCCGTAGCACAGCATGGAGGGCCGTTCATGGTGCTGTTTTTTTGTGGTCGACCACCACCCTCCACCACTCTTCTCTGGCCTCGGCCCCCACCCCTCCCCTCGAAACCCACAAGAGGACGTAAACGCCCGACCACGTACTTCAGCACGGCCCCGTGACCAGCCCGAGTCCGCGAGACCAGCCACGTGACACGAACGTTCGCGCAATGCATACTCTCGAAACCAGCGCGGAAACATGTACGTGTACGTCCTTCCTGACTCCCCATCTCTCCTTCGGCATGCGCCCTCGCCTGACGGGCCGGGCCCTCCTCGAAACCCTGCGAGAGCAGCGACGAGAGCGACAGCGGGTCCACAGCCACGGCCGACGCGCCCTCGGCCCGGGAGGGCGGCGCGGCGAGAAAGGAGAGGAGCGAGTGGGGAGGAGGGGGAAGAGGAGGAGGAGGAGGAGGAAGAGGAGGAGGGGGAGGAGGAGAAGGAGGAGGAAGAGGAGGAGGAGGAGGAGGAAGAGGAGGAGGAGGAGGAGGACGATGAGGAGGAGAAGGGGGAGGAGGAGGAGGGGGAGGAGGGATAGGAGGGGGAGGAGGGGGAGGAGGGGGAGGAGGGGGAGGAGGAGGAGAGGGAGGAGGGGGGGAGGGGAGCGAAGACAGGGGCGAGGGAGGAAGAAAAGATAGAGGCACGGCGAGGAGCAGCAAACAAGGGCGGCGAGCGGCGGAGAGCACCTGATGTTTCCAGAGGTCCCCCTAAATCTGCCTGGGGCCCATTGGAGGCCTCGGGAGGCAACAAAACAGCACCAAGACGATCGAGGACACCCGCTTGCATTGATCCTCGAACCCTGGGATGTTCCTCCTCCTACTCCCCAGGCACGACGGGGCTTAGGCCGGCGCTGAAGGGCCGCGGCTCGCACACGTGAGTGGGCTTCCTCGGAAATGGACCGTCGCCTGTGAGAAATCATCTGGCCCTCGCCGTCTCTTCTCTGCTCCGCCTCTCCTCTTCTCCTCTCCTCTTCTCCTCCGGTAATCAGGGGCGGCGGCTGGGATCAGGGCCCCAGGCAACGCCCGAAGCCTGCGCCGTCTCCCTCTCCCCATCGAGCTGCGCGCGCCAAGGCGCGCACGCTCTGCGAGTCCACGCTCTCGCCCGGCTTGTTCTTGTTGTCCTCCGCGGCAAGGTTGGGGCACAGAGAACTCGGGGAGGAGAGGGAAGGGGAAGCGGAGGAATGGGAGGAGGCGGGGGAAGGAGGCGGGGGGAGGGAGGAAGGGAGGGAGGAAGAGGAGGGAGGGAGGAGGAGGAGGAGGAGGAGGAGGAGGAGGAGGAGGAGATGGAGGGAGGAGGGAGACGGAGGAGGAGGACGCGGATGAGGAAGGAGGAGGAGGAGGAGGAGGAGGAGGAGGAGGAGGAGGAGGGAGGAGGAATGGGAGGAGGAGAGGGAGGAGGGAGGAGGAGGAGGAGAGAGGAGAGGAGGATGAGGAGGAGGAGGAGAGGAGGGAGGAGGAGGAAGAGGAGGAGGAGGAGGAGAGGAGAGGAAGAGGAGGAGGAGGAGGAGGAAGAGGAAGGGAGGGAGGAAGAGGAGGGAGGAGGAGGAGGAGGAGGAGGAGGAGGAGGAGGAGGAGGAGAGGAGGAGGAGGAGGGAGGAGGAGGAGGGAGGAGGAGGAGGAGGAGAGGAGGGAGGAGGGGAGAGGAGGAGGACGAGGATGAGAGGGAGGAGGAGAGGAGGAGGCGGGAGGAGGAGGAGGAGGAGAGGAGGAAGAGGAGGAGGAGGAGGAGGAGGAGGAGGAGGAGGAGGAGGAGGAGGAGGAGGAGAGGGAGGACACGAGTAATTCCAAGATGTGCCTGCGGTGCTGCAGCGCACACTCCCTTCCCAGGCCCCTTCTGTTCTAGTCCCGACGAGCGCAAGTCTTCTGTGCGGGAGGCACCCCCTCGAGAGACAAGCGCCTCGTGGGCCCGCACTTCGGGCGGGAGCTCGGCTCTGCAGGCATCCAGCCTTCATCTGTCGAGCTACAGAAGGAATGCTCACTGTACCCACCTTGCAGACATGCTGCATCGATTTTTGAATGGCCTTCTGCCAATGCCAACCCCCGAAACGGCGAGCGACAAACGGAAGGCATCGCACGTGGATTGGTTGTAGTCTTCATTCCTGGCCAAAAGATCCGCACGCAAGTCACTTCGAAACCCGGACCGTAATTCTCTCGGACAACCTGGGCCCATCCCATGGCTTTCCGAGCGAACTCCGCTCTGCGATGTTGGCGCCATGAGCAGAAGGAATGCGACGGACCAGGCCGGGAAGCGTCCAGCGGCAGTCCCGCTGTGAAAAAGAGCCGCCCTGCATCCGTGCAGAGTCGGACCCAGGCCAGCAGAGCATGCCTCGAGAACACGAGGCCCCCCGTCGGCCACAACACGGAGAGCATCCAAGGGTACCCTTCCAGGGAGGCACGAGACCATCCAACAAGCACGACGAGCACCAGGGTGCCCTCCCCGAACCGACCTCGATCGTATGCCTCGGTCCGACTGTAGCTGTGACGTCGAGTCAGAATCCCGAAAGAAGTGTCAGGCGAGAGCCCCGTTCTGAAGCAAGGCACGCCCTCCGTCCGCTGTGCTATCGCACAACTTCGCGCGTGTGGCAACATGCTTTGGGAAATCTCGGGCGATGGCCCCGCTTTGAGCATGTGCTGGCCTCCACTCGCGCATCTGCTTGCAACTTCCTTGAAAAACGCACGAACAGGCGCTGGGGCGAGAACCACGTTTTGGCAACGACCAGCCATCGGTCCGCGGAACTGTTGCATTCGAAGCTTCGGGAGAATGCAGCGTGAGGAAGCCTCGAGCAAAACGCCCTGCCCGGCCTACGGACACACCTGGTGGTGCGACAAAGCAGAACTGCTTATGAGGAAGAGGGTTGGAGGAGGAAGAGAAGGAGGAGGAGGAGGAGGAGGAGAAGCGAGGGAGGAGGAGGACAATGGAGGAAGAGCAGGACGGGAGATTGCGTTCTCCAAATTCCCAGTATCGGGCGTTACCCAGAGGGGAGCGCCACGGGTAACGGTAACGCCTGGGCGGGCTGGGATAGGGGCCAGCAGGGAACCAAGTTTTTGTGCAAAACTGTATACGTGTACATACACATGCAGACATACACGCACGCGCGCACACAAACAAAAATGCACACACGCAAAACAGCATGTCGGGCCCTGCCAGGACCGCAATACCCCGCGGCCAGTGCTAAGTCTGCCAACACCGCAGATAAGGTTAAAATCCACGAGTGCCAGAAAAGCCTGCGAGCACCCCAGCATGCCTGTGAGCACCACAGCATGCCTACGAGCACCACAACATGCCTGTGAGCACCACAAGATACCTGCGAGTATCTGCGAACATCACGACACGCATGTGAACATCACGGCGTGCCCGTCAGGGGGGGTCCCCGCCCCCACCAGGACGATCGTCACTGTTACGCGGCCGACACCCTCTAAATCCCCTTCCATCTTGCCTGACAGTTTACATTCTGGGCCGCGTACTGGAGCCGAAAGGAGACCGAAGCTGTGACGCGAGAAGTCAGGGGCCTGAGGAGAGACATTGGTCCGACGTGTCGCTATTCTTCCTCTTCCTCCTCCTCCTCCTCCTCCTTCAACTCCCCGTCCGTCTACTATGTTGCTCCTCCTCCTCCTCCTCCTCCTCCTCCTCCTCCTCCTCCTCCTCATCTTCCTTCTCCTCCTCACGTCCCCGCCGCCGACACCTTCTCCCAGGCCGCCTCGCCCCACCCGTCTTCTTCCCCATCCTCCACCACCGCCAGACCGTCCGCTCTTCCTTGCTCTTGTGAGACTCAGCATGAGTACCCCAAGCCATTGGCTTCCGCCCTCTTCGTCACGGACCCTGCCAGGCGGGACGAGCGGGCGGGACATTGAGGCGGGCGGGATTCCAGGAAAGCGAACGGGCGGACCCTACCGGGCGGATCGGGCGAAGGGGACATTCAAGTGGGCGGTTGGGGATCGGGCGAGCAGACCTTTACAGGCAGGTCGGGCGAGCAGGTCATGAAAGATGGCGGCGAGAAAGTACAAGGCGACAGTGCGATCCAGTGTTTGCGAGAGCCCGATGCCTTATGAAATTGCGAGAAAGACCAACCCGTGAGCCAGACCCTGCGGCAAGTTGCAAGGATGTCCCAGGCGAGGGCGCGATGCGAAAATTCTTCGAAAGATCTCCCAGGCAAGAGCACGATTCCTGAACGTCGCGAGCACGATGGCTGAGTAAAGTGATAGAAGTCCCAAAAATTGAGCACGATCCTTAAAAACAGTGATCAAAAAACACAAGCTAGAGCGAGATATTTGAACAAACCGTAAGGAAGTCTCGGGCGGAAACCGTTGTTGTTGCAGCCCAGGGCCTAACAACGCAGTTTCACCCTAGGGACTTCCCCTGACCCAAAAAAGCTGAGTGCACGAGAGACGAAGGAGGATACTAAACATATAGAAGGCACAGATGGGGGGATCAACCACATTATGCTACAGTTGTGGGAGTTCGACTCCCTCCTCCTCAGTCTAACCCTCCCACTTCATCATCACCATCAACAACATCATCGCAAATATCATCACCACCAGCATCGTGATCATCGCCATCATCATGATTATCATCATCATCATCAACATCATCAGCATCATCATCATTAACATCAACACCATCAGTAGCAGCATCAGCAGCATCATCATTAACATCATCATCATCGTCGTCGTTGTCGTCGTCGCAAGCAGCAGCAATAGCAGCATCACCATCGTCATCGCCATCGCCGTCACCATCAGCATCATCATCAACATGTTCACCATCCTCAACAGCATCATCATCACCATCATCAGCATCATCAGCATCATCATCATCATCATCCTCATCATCCTCATCATCATCATCATTATCGTCATCATCATCATCATCATCATCATCAGCATCATCATCATCATCATCATCATCATCGTCAGCATCACCACCATAGACAGCATCATCACCATCACACGCACCACCATCATATCAGCGTAATCGCACGATCAGCACAGCAGAACCACAACCATCAAGCATAGCATCCTAAACAGCAGCAGCAACCACATCATATTCATTATCATCATCATCATCATCATCATCATCATCATCATCATCATCATCATCATCATCATCATCATCATCATCATCATCATCATCATCATCATCATCCGCATCATCATCATCACCAACATCAGTATCAGTACCGTCATCATCAACATCATCAACATCATTATCACAATCATCGTCATCATCATCATCAGCATCATCAACATCGTCATCACCATCGTCACCATCCCCATCAGCATAATCATCGCCGACCTTTCCACCACCTGCCTCAATATGCACGCGCGTCTTCCTCCTTCTCCTCAGCATAGCAAAGATCGCCAGCAGCAACAATGTCAACAACATACTTTTCAGATCCTCGTCGGGAACTCTGGGCTGGGCGGTACACTGGTACCGCTAGAAGACCATCGGAATGAAGTCGGATTAGGTCGGATGCATGCAACCACTGCTTTGCAAATGTTCCCTCTGTTCCAGCCTCCCTGCCTCCCGCTACGCCTCCCCCCACTTCGTCCCGCCCCCGAAATCTCCGTCCATTCGTCGGCTGGAATCCGAACTTGAAGCCGGATCTCGAATGACCTCCAGAAGCAAGATGAAGGTTAAGCAGCGGTGCCATGTAGATGGAAGAAGACAGGGCAGGTCCTTTGCCAGCTTTTCAATCAGCCTCACCGAGAAGTCGGTCACCACCTGGCGGCCGACCAAATTGACCCCGACAGAAGTACAGCTTGGCAGCGGTACTGGCAATGGCGGACTTTACGCACAGATCAGATGATGCATGACCATCGCCATCGAAGGAACAGACACATTCGATACGACTCGTATGATATGTTGCGCGACTTGGCACGGCGCGTTCACGCCCGACGCGCACTGCAAACCTGCACAAGCTTCATCATGGCAGCTCCCTCACAAAGCAAGCATGTGAAGGCAAGGGATGCTCGGAGGTGGGTCCGACAGGAGTGGTTCACCACACACACACACACACACACAGACTCCAGCAAGTTGGGAATCTTGATGCGTATGCCACCGCCGAGTCATACATTCCCTGCCACGCCCGCGCACACCAAAAAAAACTCACAGTAGCAGGCGCCCGCATGCAGGCACAACGCGAATGTCTCCGCTCGAACTCTCGCGCGCACACCAACGCGCACGCACAAAGCGCACACCAACGCACGCCCATCCGCACGCACACCTGCGCAGAGCACGCCTTCTTCCGACGCCGTGGTGAGAAGGCACTCGCGGCCTGTAGGCTAATGGAGCCCAACCTGAATTGCCATGAAGCTTCCAGCAGGAGCTCGACCACATAAAACCTTCTACAAGAAAACCAACCCTGAGACCCCAGGACGTCCGTTGTTTTTTGGTGTGGGCACGTCACGCTTTCCATCGCAAAACCATGGAAACCCAAGAAACCCAGGGCACCCTGGAGGCCCTGGAGGCCAGCAAGGTGCTTCTTGGCATGGGTGTCCACTGTGGTTCACGGCGGAACGCAGCGGTGAGGTCCTGCGGGCGGGGGCGGACCGGAAGTGCGCACGTACGCGCCGGGCGCGGGAAGCGAACCGAGAGCGACGCGCAAGCGAGACGGAGGGAGAGAGACGAGGAAGAAGCGGGAGGCCAGCCGGTCCGCTCGTGGGCGCCACCTGCGCCCTGGGTGGACTGGTGCACGCCACGAATATATATATATATATATATACACAGACGACATTTGCGTGCACCTCCCTGCATAAAATCGCTGGCCCCCAGGGGTGATTTTATGAAAATCGCTGGCCCCCCGTGGTGATTTGCACACCGCCGCCCTCTCCGGAGGCCCAGGAGCGATCCCGTGGAGGGTGTCTGCGTACTCTTGTTGGCGGCGGACGGTGGCACAGCCCTGCCGCAGGCAGCGGCGGCCAGCCGCGGCCGCTGCCGCGCGGCGCCAGGGGGACGCCCGCTCGGGCGCGCCGCATCGTCGATCGCTCGCCGATGTCGTCAGGGTCGGGGCCACGCGCGCGCGCCGGCGAGCGAGAGCGAGCGCCGCCCGGTCGCCGGGTGCGAGCAGACGCCAGGCGTGACAGCACCGGGCACCGTGTGCAGCAGGGGTCGGTAGGCGTGACCCGCCGTCTCGCTCGAGCTGTCGCGACTCATGCTCGGTGCCACGCCTTCACCACATCCTCCCGATGCCATGGATGCTGCTGCTGCTGCTGCTGCTGCTGCTGCTATCTGCTACTGCTACAGTGGAGACGCGGGAGCAGGAGGAGGAGGAGGAGGAGGAGGAGGAGGAGGAGGAAGAGGAGGTCCGCCACTTTCATCACGCTGGCTGGGCCCCTCACAACGGCATGGCAGACTCCGTCCCCTCCTCCTCCTCCTCCTCCTCCTCCTCCTCCTCCTCCTCCTCCTCCTCCTCCTCCTCCTCCTGCTCCTCCCCCTCCTCCTCACGAGGCCTTTTCGTCTTCGTCGTTCTCCTCCGCCTCCTGCAGCTCCATGTCCACCTGGAAGCGGCCGGGGCGCGGAGCGCCAGGGGCGGCAGGGGCGCCGACGAGCCGCGCCCCCCCCGCGCTCCTCCGCCCTCCTCGCCCCGCATCCCGCGCTCCTCCGCCCTCCTCGCCCTCTCGGCACACGTCGCTGTCACCCTGCAGGTCCCCAGGATAGGGAGCCCACAAAGGACGTACGCGCCCAGCTATGTACATGAACACGGCCCCTCGATCTGCGAGACGGGCCGCGTGATACGAACTTTCGGGAAATGCGTACTCTCGAAACCGGCGTGGATTCATGTACGTGTACGTCCTTCTTTCGCTCCTGACAGGATCCCGTCCCGCCTCCGTGCCCCTCTCCCCCTGAGAGGTGGCAAAAGGAGGGGGGGCACCGAACTGGAATCGGCGATGCATCGCCGACGCAGTGGAGGCCTGGCCACAAGAGACCTTCCACGAGAAACCCAACCCTGAGACCCCAGGACGTTCATAGGTTTTTGGTGTGGGAACTTCATGCTCTTCATCGCAAAGCCATCGAGAACCAAGAAACCCAGGGCACCCTGGAGGCGAGCAGGGTGTTTCTTGGCATGGGTCTCCACTGCATCGGGGGCGCCCAAACATGGATCGGGGAAAGTGCCCTCCCCAAAATGCGGCCGGTGCCTCCTCGTTCGGCGGCGGAAATCCGCGATTTCCCATGGAAACGGGACCCGTCGCTAATCCACGCCCCCTTGCCCCATGGTTGCGATCGCCTGACTGTAGGTCGGCGATCAGATCATCCCCTGATAGCGAAACCGCCCACTCCTGGACAGGGCGGGGCACTCCAGCCCCGACCGGCGATGAGATGGGCAATCGGGGGACGAGGCGACTCCTCCCGAGCAAGCCTCCCCCTTTTGCCCCCCACCCAGTACCATTGAGCCCTGCCATCCTCCCTCAAAGCCCACGCCCTTGGTACAGGCCCCGATGTTTTCACACAAGAGCTTACTAGAGATGAGCACGTCTTCGCGACACTGCCATCGTCCGCCGCCGCCAAAGCGTCGCTGAAGGATGACATGCAGCAACGAACAGCTCCTGGCTCCCAAAATCGAGGGAACGCTCGGCCGACACGTCGCCCGCCGACCTTGACGGCAGCCCCTCTTCGCATCGAGGATCGAGGCCTTCGCAATAGGCTGACCCCCGCCAAGCCCGTCGACGACTATTGTATGTAGTGTTGTACCGCTTTTCCCATTATTTTTCCTCTCCTCCTTTCCGCTCCGCGCTCACTCTCCCCTTGCCCACTTCAATGTTCAGTGTGTGATGTGCGAGTGTAATGGTACCCGCCGACCATCACTGGTCTAAGTACTCTGGCTGTGACCCGGCGCGCGTGCATTCAGCAAAACTTTCTGCACATGCTCTGGCCTTTGCCTTCATGCCAATGTGTGCCGATGCGCCGTCTGAGCGCGGCCTCTTCCTGCCCTGACCTGTCCTGTCCGCTTGGCCCGCTCTGTGCCCAGAGGGCCTCCGCGAACCTCCCAGGAGGCCTCAAGAAAAACCTCCGGGCTCCCCAATCGCCGACACAGTCGTCACCCCGACCGCCGTCTGCCCAGCTGCCTGCGCGCTGGTGCGCGCTCTGGCGACAGCAACAAAAAGGGGCGCGATCTCACACGTGCCGCTGCGTGCGGCAAGCTCCGTGCCATGGGCGGCTGCAGCCCAGGCATCCGCTCGAGTACCGCCGTGAGATGGGACGCACGAAGACATGCCAGTACGATATGTCCTCCTTGGAAGCGCGCGTCCGACCCGTACACCCATCTTGTAGTATATCGCTTCCCGAGCGGTGTGGCCAGAAAGCGCCCGCCACGACGCATATACTACAAGATTTCTCGGTGCGCGCCTCGCCCCTGGGGGCCCGGGGGGCGACGCACACATAAGTAGTAGTAGTAGTATGCTGGGGTGACGCTGATGAGAGGAGAGTAGAACGGACAAGAGAGTTGGCTCGGTTCAGATCGATGGATCTCATCGGATCAGTTCGATGCAAAGGTGCTCGTTCATCCATGATGCGATTTGCAAATTCGACTGGGCGATGAATCACACCGCAGAACGCAACACTGCGATGGTTCCAACCACACAAGCTTTGTCCTGACCGCAACTGCTGCGATGCAGAGCGCGCACATGGCCCGGTTAAAACATGTGAAACACTGACTCTAGACTGCTCCAAGCATCACGTGGGGCACGTCTCATGAGCAAAGTTGTGGCGCCTCTGGGGTTGCCAAAAAACAGCCAAGGCGCTGGCCGAAGGGAGCTTGTGCTCATGCGCGAGGGCCTCCCGCGCGACATCTGGAAGCTTGTGCTCATGCGAGCGTTTGTGCTTCGCCCTCCACCACCATAACCCCCCCTCAGATATCGCCGGGATTGAATAAAACACATTGTGTGCAGTGTCGTAGCCTGGTGGGGATGAATAAATGAATGAATGCAAGCCGGGTGACGAGGCACATGAGCAGTGATGCAACACTGTGGGCAGTAGTGCCGCACAGCGGTTTTCCAGGCTCCTGCTGGAATTGCCGCGAGCTGTCGAAAATCATGCGCACTGCTCTCGCAGACTCTCTCCGCGCGCTTCTACAACTCATTTGGCCATGACTGCTTCGGCCCGCCCCTGGGGCCTTCTGCAGGCCGGCGGACGTAGTTCCGAAGAGCACGGCTGGAAGACCGCACGCCGCACCGGATGCTCATCCAGGTGCCGGGAGATCTGCGCAGAAAGACATATAGTTGACGGCAAAACAGCACGCGACTCAAGGGCGGCCGGCGGGCCCTTTCCAGAACTACTGCGTCAGATCTGTTCGGCGATGGGAAACATGCACTACCCGAGAACACTCATAATACCAATGGTTGGAACACTCCGGTCACCCACATACATGTACACGATGCTTACAAATGCAAGGTTGCCACGGGCCCATGACAAGATCACTTGGTCCACTCCACAATGTTATCGAGCATGCCCTGGCACTGAGCCATCGTGGAGCAGAAAGCCCTCAAGAACGGCACGCACGCGGGGCCCTTGGTCTTGCCCTTCCAGACTTCGTTCAAGGCCAAAATCACGGCACCACCCGCGACCTTCTCGCCCAGGCGCTTGGTACCCGCCTCCGAGCGCCAGTCGTCCTCCTCCGGCACCAGCGCTCTCTGCTCCAGCTTCACGAACTCCGTCGGGCCGCCGCTGTTGGCGCAGATCGTCGGCGTGCCGCAGGCCATGCACTCGATGAAGTCCTGCCCCTTGGCGCCCACGAAGAAGGTCCGCTGCAAGCCGATCTTGACCACGAGACCCTCGTGCAGCGCAACGGCGTCGGGCGGGCCGCTGCCCACAATCACCGTGGCCAGGTCAGGGAAGGACTTCTCGTACGCCGCAGCTGCAGCACGGCGTCCAGGCGCTTCCAGTCAACAAACTTGCCCACCAAGGTCACGACCCTCTTGATCGGTGCCAGCTTGCCCTAGTCCACCTCCCGCACGTGCGTCGCCAAATCCTTGACAGTGGCGCTGGTGCGGTGGAAAATGTTCTGGTTCACGCCGATGCGCGAGAAGACATGCTTGGACTTCGGATACTTGGGGAAGCAGTTGTCAAACTTCTTGATGGAGTCCTCAGAAGTCACCCAGATACCAGAGCACAGCGCGTCACGGGTGAAGACACCATGGTTCTGGCAGAGGGGCAGGAAGCGCTCTGGATACTCCGGATCCTTCGTCTGTTCTTTGATGTACATCTTCAGCGCGGTGCCATGGACAACATTGAAGTGTTTCAGCCTGGTCTTGCCCTCCTTCCTGGGATCTGGCCACTGGTCATGGCGTTGGCGAAGGCGTGGTGCGTGATCAGGCAGTCGAAATCCTTCCCCTCCTTCTTCTCGGTCTCGTCCACGCACTGGCAGACCTCTTTGTCCAGACGCTGGAGATACGCCGCGAACTGCTCGTCGTTCATGAAGTACCACCTGTACGAGGAGTTGGGGCTCACCGACTCGCAGATCGGGATGTCGTGGTCAAGCTTGAACACCCAGAAGTTGTCTTCCTCGCCCGCCTCGGGGCGGGTCTGGTTCTTGCTGGGATAGATGCTGTAGCACTTGACGCCCGGCATCGACTTGAAAGTCTGGTGCATGTAAGCGTGCACGATGCCGCTGCCAGAGGCGAACTCGCCCTGCCTCTGCCAGTTGCTTGTGCCGATGTGGAACATCAGCGTCTTTGGCTTGGATGCAGTAAACACCTCCACCATGTTGTCGAACATGCCCTGGCACTGACCCATCGTGGGGAGGCGAAACCACGGTAGGTAGATGCGGGGTTATGCGCGATCGAGGCTGTAGTGCTTCGTAGTGGGTTCTAGGAATCTCTCGGACTCCTTTTATCCTTGAACTCAAACGGCTACGGATTTGCAAAACGACCAAGTTTGACATGCCAGTCCTGCTTCGCCCACAAGGCAACGTATTCGGCTCCCCGAACTGGCCTCCAACCATACACCCGTGGCATTGGATGAAAAACGCACGCGCGCACACACGCACACACACACACACACAACCGCACACAACGGGCGGCGGCGGCAGCGGCGACAGGAAATCTGACACCAGAAGGTACCCAGGGGCGCGACGGCATTCCCAGCTACAAGATGATGAGGAGGAGCGTGTGAAAAAGAGCCTCCTAGGCTCCCGGGGCATCGCCACTCGGGTGGTGAAGGATGAAGACGCCATGTGCGGAAAAAGGATAACGATACCTCAACCGCCAAAAGACAGCTCTGACCTCTCCGAACACGCGAAAGACATTTCGTTCCGTCGGCGGCCAGGCAGAGTAACTGCGCTGGCGGAAGAGCAATCACAACGGGGATACCGTTGAGGCGAATTGTGCCACAATGCAGGAACATGGAAGGAGACAGGGAGGGCGGCCGAAGGAGGAGAGAGGGAACGAGGGCCGCTCAGAGGGACGGGTCACACCCGGAGCGAGTGGCGCGGCCGGCCCTGCCGGCGGGGTAGGCGGCGGCTGCTGCGCCAAACAAGCGCGAACACAAGACCCATGCCCGCCTGGAGATGCCAGAATTGCATTTCGTGGAGACCGTGTGGCCCGTGGCCTGCCGTGCTCGCGGGGCCTGAGCCCAGTGTCCGCCTGCAGATGTCAGATTCGCACTGCGGACGGTTGCAAGTACAGGGACCCAGGGACACAAATATATACACACAAATCCCCGGATTCCCCATGTTTTCCTATATTTTCTTGGTTTTCGATGGCCCCCCTCACTTCCCATATGTTCCCATATTTTCCTGGGGGTCGACGATGAATTGCGCCAGTGTGATTTCTCCCCTCCTGAGAATAAGCTGCCCGTGCATGGAGGGGCCAGACCTGCACCAGTAAACAGTCCAAGAACAATCGATTCTCTATGTTCAGCGCTGGCTGGCCCCATGCGCCCCCGAATCGCGCACAAGCGGAAGGCCAAAGAACAAGCCCCAATCAAAGAAAGTTGACACATAAAAAACGTTAAGCCGCCTTCGGGGGTGCCTGGGGCCAAGGTCTCATCTTTCTCAGTCAGCGCCGCGGGCACGCACAACACAAAATCGAGGGAGCGCGATGGTCTACTTAACTACGCCTGCAAGGGGCTTGCAATGTGTAGTACGCAATGATACGGAGGGCTATGCCGCCCAACTGCAGTCCCACCGCATTGTCGCCATATGACAAGATGGGCGCCACTCCAATCGATGCAAGGCAAGCCTCCAATGTTTGTGAAGCGACCTGTCAAAGAGATCCTGATGTTTACGATGAAATGGGACGTTTATCCATGTCCTTGTGCCGTGCCATTTTCTCTGTACTTCTCTCTCTCTCTCTCTCTCTCTCCATCCCTCCCTCCATCCCTCCCGTTCTCCTTCCCTCCCTCTCTCTCGTTCTCTCTTTCTCTCCTTCTCTCCTTTCATTGCTCTCTCTCTCTCTTTTTCCCTTCCTCCCTCCCCCCCCCCATCCCTCCCTCCCTCTCTCTCTCTCTCTCTCTCTCTCTCGCACGACGCAGGCGAGGCCAACGCCGGGCGATCCGTCCGCCCGCGCTCGGGGCACCCCACGGGCCCCACGCGCGGGACCGCCGCAGGCCAGCGCCCCGCGCCAGCGCCGCAGCGGGCGACAGCCGCGGCCGCCGCCTCGGGCCACGGGGCCCTCTGCCCCTGCCTGGACCGGGCGGGGGCCCCGGCCCCTCTCGGACCCCAGCGCTCCTCCGGCCAGCCGCCGCACCGGCCCCAAAAAGAGCCGGCGCCGGGGCCGAGGTCGGGCCATCTGCCGAGCGCACGCCCCGTGTACGGGTCGAGGCCGCGCTCCAGCTTGGCCAAGCACTGCCTCTTCTTGCGCTGCCCCGCCGAGGCGGCCCACGCGGGCGGCAGGGGCCCTCGGCACACCTCCTTCAAGCCCTTGGCCCTATCGGGGCCGTCGAGCTCGGCGAGGGCGGCGCAGCGGCGGCAGTGGCTGCACGGCCCTGCCACTCGCAGAACATGCCCAGGCCGCTGCTCCTGGCGGTCGGCGTCGCGTCGCCGTGCTCTTTCCGCCCTCTGCTGCGCAGCCGCAGCCCGAGCACTGGGCTTCGGGCTGGTGGGGGTTCGCGACCGCTGCATGCCCACAGGGGCATCCGCACACTCAGCAGCATCGCTCACCACACCAGGCCGCGCCGCCGCCGCCAGCGCGGCCGCCGCAGCCAGCGCCGCAGCGGCAGGGAGGGGAGCACAGGCGTCCCCCGCACCTCCATGGGGCCTCCTCGGCCTGCGCCCTGAGTTGCCTCTCCGCTGCTTGCGTCTGCCCCTCAGCAGAGCCAGGGCGAACACGGCGTCGACCTCCCCACTGAGCGCTACTGTCTGACGAGCTCCACGAACACCAGCGATCACCAGTGGGACTCTCGCTGAACGAGGTGGCGTCGGGCCCATGGCTCTCACCTTCCTCCCTTGCCGCGTCCTCATCCACATCTGGCCAGGACGCTGCCTGCTCCTCGCTGGAGGTGGGGCCGAAGGAACCTGCCCCACCTTCGCCACCACCATCACCAGGCTGACCATCCGCCTCATGCTGAGCTCCCTCCAACGTGGGGTCTGACGGGAGGATGGCTGGGCGGTCCTCCCACGGCCTCGCCGCCTGCCGCGAGGGGAAGCCATCAATGGCCGCCTCATGGCGCGGGTCGCCTTCTCACGAGGAGCTCGCCGCCTCGCGCCTCGGGGATGGCAACCTGTCCCTGCTCATTTCCTCCGACACCTCCCAGCCGTAGGGGGCCTCGTTCTGCGGCAAGCTAGCCATGTCCAGGCCCCGAAAATACATGCTCACCACCCGCGCGCGCGTCGGGCGCCGCTGGCGGCAGGCCTCGCCGTCCAGGCTCTCCAGCCGAACCCGGTCCGTCTGGCGCGCAATGCCGCCCGGGCGCCAGGCAGCTCGGCACAACTCCTCAACTTGCCGCCAGCGCTTCCTCTCCGCAGCCATGTCCGACAGGCCCTCGAATAAGGGGCCAGAAGCCGGCGCGCGGAACTGCTCCTCTGCTCCAACACGAAACCCTGGCACTCGTCCAACCAATTCGCCTCCAGGTCCAGCAGGAGCCACTGCGCAATCTGCCGCAGCCCCCTGCGTCGGCTCGAACTTGCGGTCCGCCTGCAGGACGCGGGGGCCCGTTGCCTGCTCCCGCCGGAGAGTCACGCCATCACCAGCATCTCGATGCCACGGTCGCTGGGGCAATTTATCGCAGGATGCCCCCCGACTGCCTGTCCCACATCGTGGGCCTTGGGGGGCCGCCCCCAGCGGGACTGGCCCCCCCGGGCCGCGCCTCTCGCCACCTGACTAGTTGAAGGGCTCCTTCGTGCCAGCCGCCCCCTCGTCGGCGCCCTCACCCCCCCGCGAGGCGCGCAGCCTGCGCGGTGGCACGCGCCGCAAGCCCTCCGCCGTCGCCATGATGTGATCGAGCAGCTGTCCCTGGCTCGGGGAGGTGCGCAGGGCGCCCAATGAGCTGCCCCCCGCAGTCCTCCGCGCCGCGCCGCCGACCCGCCTCCTCGGGCCCCGCGACACAGCCACCGCCGCCCCCTCAGGCTGCGCTAGCGGGCTCGGATCTTGAGCCGAGGCCGAGGCCTCGCGAGGTGGGCAGGCCGCGAGCGCCGGGGCCGCTGCTCGCCGCGAAGCACCCGCAGGCGCGTCAGCAGGGCGAGGGGCTGAACGTCTGCATCTTCAGCCACTTCAACATGAACAGCATCACCGCGTTGCCGCACGGACGATTGGCTCGATGACAGACCGCCAGACCCGACCACCACTGACAGCAGTGCCAGGCTCCTCCTCCCAGCACTTCCGATATCCTCAAAGCCAGCCCAGCTCTCCTCGCAGGGGAACCTGGCCTGCTCCACGACCTGGCCCGGGGCCGCGCCAGGGCGCCGCGCCGCCTCCAGCAGGTCGCGCACCTCCCCCTCGAACGCCATCGTCCCAATGCCCAGCCCTGCCTGCCCTTGCTCGGGCCTGTCGGGCCGCACGTGCCCCCCCCCCCCTGGCCGCTCGGGCTTCGTCATCCAGCTGCATCTCGGGCGCGCCCGCCGCCAACGGGGCCCTCGGCGACCGCCGAAGAGCTGGCCGCCGCCCGGGCCACACGCCCCCTGGCGGGGCGCTCCGCGCGAAGCCTGCCCAGAGCAGCCGGCGGCCTGCCGCCGGGCAGCGTCGCGGACTTCTCCGCGCGCGCTTCACGCCCACAGCGCGCGCGCTGCACGCCTTGGCCGCCGCAGGTCTTGCAGTCGCGGCGCGCGACGGCCAGGGCGGGCATGGCCCCGCGGAACCGCCCCTCGCGACGGCTAAGACGGCCCTGCTCGTCAAAAGGCCGCCAGGGGCCCAACTGGCAGACGCGCGCCGCTGTCCAGCCCACGTAGCCCGCCGCGTCGACCGCCCTCAGCAGCTCGGCGCGCAGCCCCCCCGACGGCGGAGTCTGCCAGCTCGACCTGACGAGCGCCGAGGCCCGCGAGGAAGTCGGCCCAAAAATTGCCCAGCCAGTCCATCGGGTCTAGGCCCTGGTCGATCGCACCCTCGATCGTTCGGCGTGCCAGCACCCAGCGGAACGCAGGCGGCTTCGTACACTTCTGGCCCACCACGCTGCGCAGCTGGCGCCAGATGCCCAAATGCCGCGCATCGGCTCTCGCCTCTCTGGCGCCCCACTCGCCCCCCTCCTTCACCATGGCGCGACTCCGCACGGCCGACCGTCTGGCACGCTCCAGGCAGAGCACCGTGCTGAGCCCGCAGGGGGAAGCCGTCTGGGCGCAGCGCCACCATCGCCCACACGCAGCGGCGCGCCCCCTTCACCCTGGGCCCGATCCCTGACCCGTCGGCGTAGACCTTCCTGGGCCCGGGCACGCGCGAGGCCCCCAGTTGTAGACGCCCGCCTCATCTGGCGCAGAAGGTGGGAACACAAGCGCCAGAGGGAGGCCGCAAGGCAGCGGCAACGCGCTGTCGCCGATGGCCCATGGCCTCTCCGCCTCCTCCAACTGCTTCCTGATGACATGCAGCCGATTGCGGAGCGGCCCCTCCTGCTCGAGCTCCTCCTCGCAGGGCTGCATGAGCTTGGGGCAGACGCACCATCGATGCATGAGCGTGTCCTTCGGGGCACCG